GTTCAAATGTTATTCTGGATGTTTCTGTGCAGCTGTTTTTTTTTTTGGGTGAGAGTAACATTTAAATAGGTGGACTTTAAATAAAGCAGATTGCTCTCCATAATGTAGGTGGGCCTCATCCAATCAGCTGAAGGCCTGAATAGAAAAAGACTGCCCCTGGATTTGAATTTCAACTTTTCCCTGAGTCTCCAGCCTGCTGGCTCACCCTACAGATTTTGGACTTGCAATCCAGATTTTGGACTCTACAATCATGCGAGCAGCTTCCTTAAAATAAACCTCTCTCTATATATACATGCAAACTGTCAGTTCTCTTTCTCTGGAGAACTCTAATATACCTTAAAAGCCAGTTCCCTCTTTGCCCTAGGACAGGACCTTTGTTTGGCCAGGGTAGTGCTGTTGTTGAGGACAGCAGAGGCTCCCTCCGGCTGGCTCCTCCCCCTGGCATCGGAGGAAGTGGTCCTAGGCAGAGCACCAGGGAGCTACCCTTTGGCTTGGCAGAGCCCACCGCCCATGAGGTTCTCCAAACCTCCCTGGGGCTATTGCGGGAGTTGGAAGTGTCGACTGAGGCTGCTGGCCACTGTCATTAAACTCTGCAGTGGCGATGGCGTCCCTCTGGGAAGGACACCGTGAGACATAGGGGTGGATGCCTGTTGGTGAGGGTCAGCTTGGCCCTGAGTGACTCCAGGCCCCCATCGCCCCAGAATGGTGAGGTCAGCAGCCTGGGCAGCCAGGAGCCAGAGCCAGGAAATGGCGATGGTTTGGCGGGAGATGAGGCCAGATTAGGGCAGAGCAGAAAAATCGCATGGAGAGGAAATTCAGGATGGCAGTCAACCTGTGACTTAAGGAAAGTAATTTGCTGCAGGAACACATGGTGCTGGCTACTCAAAAAAAAAAAAAGGAAATTTCAATATAAAATTGGGAGGTGCCCTGAGAGATAGGCAATCATTTGTTAAGGGGCCACCCCCTTATAGGCTCCCTGTTCACCAACAGGTACTTTGTGGTGGACGGGAGGAGTGATAAAAGGCTCCTGGAGCTATTTAATCTTTACTTGTGTTCGGAAATGCTGCTGAGTCATAACGCTCCCAAGAAAGGACAGGATCCTGTGTCCTGTCCTTTCTTGGGAGCCGCCCTTTGCATTAAGGCGCAAAGGAAAGTGGATTCTGTTCATCAGGGTTCGTTGCCGGCTCTCCATTATTGCCGTGCTATTTCCTCAGGGCAATGATAAAACCAGGACAGGGACAGGGGGGAGCTGGGAGGAGAACACGCCAGACGAAGGCAAGTACGAAAACCCTGCAGAGCTCACGCGTGTCGGTGTCCGTGTAAACACGCGTGTCGGTGTCCGTGTAAACACGCAGGTCTCCAGCCCGATTTCCCTGGCCACCCTGTCCTGGCTTGTAGTTTCTCTTGGCTGCATGCACCGCATGTGTCATACATGCGGCCACACATCCTTTTGGGACCAATGTGAGGGGGGAGAAGGCATGTGTGTAGACACATGCAAAAACTCTTCCTTATTTTGTAAAACCTGCATGAGAGTCATTTCCTGTCTGTGGCAGGACAGAGCCTCTCATACTGTTTGCTCCTGATCCCAGCCTGGGACTGGGTCAGCATGTAATGTCTCAGTTCCGACTGAGGAGCCTACGCCGTGCCTGTCCTTGGGCCACCTGGAGGGAACGTCAGTCAGGCGAATGCGCCCTCGTCCCTCCCCCCGACCCCCAGATGGGCTCCTCTCCACGGACCCTGCGCCAAGGCCTCAGCACACAGCAGGTAGCTCATAGGTGTGGGGCAAGGCCACGTGATCGTCTGGGCAGTTCGGTTCGTCACCCTCCCAGGGGCGATAGCTGGAAACCAACTTCTGCACATTCTGAGGTGCAAGTCAGCGCCTCAAGATCTGGACTGACAGATTTCACGTGACAGATTTCACCTTGGTTCTTCTCGGGATAAATGCTTTTTTTTTTTTTTAATAAGTGCATTTTTGAGGCCTGGTTAACAGTATTCCTCAGCTACTCAATGCTAAAGATTCTCAGAGGCAGGAAGAAAAAAAAGAAAAGGCAAACTTGGCCATGGGGAGGTGGGGAGGTCTGGACCTTTTAGTCCCTGGCTTCCAGGAAGGCGATTTCACAGCAAGACCGGTTGCTGGAAGCCACTGGAGTGAAGCTGAAGCTGCAATGACCTTCGAACCATCTCAAAATAAGGGCTAAAGAAGGAGACAATCATTTAATTCACCGTTGACCCGAACCCACAGCTCCGAACAGTCAAGTAATGCCCACCCGGCCAACTCGTTGCCAACTTGTCCCCACCCAAGCCGTGCAGAGAGCCATGCTCTCACCTTTCCTAGTGATTCATCCAACAAATATTTGGAAAGCCTGCTCTAAGCCAGGAGTAGGAACACAGGGACAAACACTCTATAGGTGGACCCTGACTTTGAGGGCGTGGGAGACAGTCACGGGCCTTGTGACCACTTACTGGGCTCTGTGGCCCTGGAATGTGGCTGTGTGACTAGGCTTTGGGGTCAGGCAGGAGGGATACACAGCCAAGACCTAGAGCAACCCAGTTAGGAAAATATATTCCAGGCAAAGATGACGGCCAGTGGCGGATGGGGGCAGAAGACAGCGACATGCTTCTCCCTCTTTCCATCCTCCTCCTTCTCAAACAGAGGCCCTGTACCCCAAACTTAAAATGAGAGTTGAATTCACGTGACTGACGTTGAGGAGAGAGTACCCATCGGTGGAATTAACCCCGAGGATGCATTCGTGCCCAGCAGAGGCTTGCATGGCCAACCCGGTAACCCCACTTGTGGTAACAAGGGAGCATATTTCTAAGGAAAGAGCCTTCGGGGGCCCCTGTCTGCTATGAAAACAGTTATTTCTGAGGGGAGAGGATTGTCCCTAATGATGAGCATTTACAGGAAGGAGAAGTGGCCCCAGGCCTAGAAGGGCAGGTTGGCCCGGCTAAGCCCCAGGATTGGATCGGTCCAGCCCTGGGAGCCAGGAGCGGGGGTGGCGGGGGTCAGCCTCGGCTCTGGCCCGCCCTCTGAGGTCTCTCATTTTGAGCATCCCTGCCCCGCCACCTCAGGAGAAGCCCTGACTCAGCCCACCAGCCCGTGGGCACTTCCGGCCCCAGAGCTCACCTTCAGCCACTCTGAGAGGGGAGGAGGCCCAGGTAGGCTAGGTGGGTCAGAGGTTGGGCTGGAGAAGACCAGAAGCCCAGCCCCTCCAGGCCCCCAACCCACCTGGCCTCCAGCCCCTGGCTCACCTTACCATCTTCTGTACCCTCTGTTCAGTAGAGACACCCAGGACTGGCCGTCCACCCCAGCAGGACTCCAAGTCCTTCCGGCTCAGCCTCACACGGCTCTGCTGCCCCCGGCACCCCCACCCCGCCCCCCATCTCTGCTAACAGGAAGGTGGCAGGAACGCTGAGTGCAGCTGAGGGGACGGGCTTTGGCACTTCCCACCCCTCCCCCCGCCCCCCCCTTTCTCCACTGCGGCCTCTGCCTATTCTCGGTGGCACTGGCGGCTCCAGGTGTTCCTGTGGCCTCTAGAACTCAGC